CATTTCTAGCAACAATGGAGACATCAACCTCTTCAACCTTAACATCCTTCATAACAAAGTTCATGTTGTTGAAAGTTGAAACATCTTTAGGTGGACTTTTTTGAGTTTCTGCAAATCTAACCGATTTCTTATCAAGTGTATTACCTTCTTGACCTTTCTTAGCAGAACTTTTTTTACAGAACACTCTCCAACCTCATTAACAAGTCCCTGAATTACTTCCATGGCTGCTTCCCCATTGAAATAATAGTGTTAAGTTTGTTACAACATTATGCATTATATATAAACAATAGTAACACCACATATTATATACGTAAACATAATACTTAAAGACTTACAATTTTAAATCATAATTCCGTAGTCCTCTGATTGAACACAACTGATTATATTAATGATCAAAAATCGCACAATGATCTTTATGAATTTACACTATCAATGAACCCTAACAGTCAACCAAAACTATAAAATTTGAAATATCCATACGACTCAATTCCTAAAAGTTTCTCTAAATTATAACATAAACAAACCCATATCATGAACCCTAAAGCATCATCAAATGAGATATCAAAAAATACACAATACAGTCAAAATAAGATGATAAAACAAGGGAAATCAGTTACTGACCAATGCTTGACTCGCTATCGTCTGAAATCCAACCATTGCAGGGTTTTCTTCTACCATTCATTGCTCTAATTTCCGTTTGGGTGGTTTCAGTTGAAGTAGAGTGTGAAAATTTTGTAAACGGCGGCGATGCCCTTAGGTTTTCCGATCTCAACAAACAAGAGAGTGAGAGATAAGATGAAAAGTTTACTTTCAAACACATGCAATGTTGTAATGTACAATTCCCAATCAATCCATCCAGTTTCCAAGGTTGCATGTGTTGCACGATGCGTTTTGAAAACTGTGGGTTAGATGAATAATTTCCATATCTCTTGGTCAGATGGAAATCTTATTTGAAGCATGCTTCTATTTTTGTCATAAGTATTGCATTTATGTTAATTTATTGAGAGATGAAATGTTGTCATGCATACACGTGCAAGTTGTTGTTTTTGCTGTTTAATATTCTCTACACGTTTGGTTTATATAATTAAGTATTATTTCAATTATATTTTCCCTTTTTTCTAAAACAACTTTTTAGGTCCAATCTATTCAACTTTATTAAAAGTAGACATTAATTACATCCCCCAAATATATATATATATATATATATATATATATATATATATATATATATATATATATATATATATATATATATATATATATATATATATATATATATATATATATATATATATATATATATATATATATATATATATATATATATATATATATATATATATATATATATATATATATATATATATATATATATATATAAAACTTCTCATTGCTCACAATACATCTCACTCATATCTAAATGTTAGAAACATTTCTTATTGTATTATTGACAATTTGTTTATAGTCACTACAAATATTTTTCCTTCCAATTTTATTAATACAAATTCTTTTTTTTTGTGCAGTATTTACTTACATACATAAGAGGTAGTAATGGATAAAGATGTTGCAATACTTATGAACAAAGATGATAATGGAGGAGTTCATAATCTTCATCCCAACAGTTTAGGTTACAATGTCGAATTGTTTTGAAAGAAAGAAATCACAATTTTATAAGGGAGGAAAAAATTGCATGGTGATATATCATTCTAAATATTTTTCGATATTATTTCGATTTTTTTTCATTTTTTTTTGTATTTCATATTTATTGAACGACAACTTACAATACATTTTTTTTGTATAGAATATTCCAACTGATATTGTTAGTAAAGGTTTATGTGCTGATCATACCAATTTGACATTGATGAAATGCAACCCCATGATTGTAAAATTCTTAAGGGAAAAGGCCATATACTGAGATGTATCTTGGAAAGGGTTGGTATGAGTATGCAAATTCAAGAAACTTAAATGTTGGAGATGTATTGATTTTTCATTACCTATCCGATTCTAAGACATTTTATGTTTAGCATGTGAGAAAGGACAGGGTGAAGTATGTAATAAGTGATGAATCCTATTTTTTTCCATTTACGTTTTTATGTTTGTTTTAACATAACTTATTATATGCTTTTGTATTTTTTTCCAGAAGATCAACATCTATCTTTTAGTTTCAATCCTAATGTAATATAAGTTTAATTAATATATATATATATATATATATATATATATATATATATATATATATATTATATATATATATATATATATATATATATATATATATATATATATATATATATATATATATATATATATATATATATATATATATATATATATATATATATATATATATATATATATATATATATATATATATATATATATATATATATATATATATATATATATATATATATATATATATATATATATATATATATATATATATATATATATATATATATATATATATATATTATATGTTATACTTTGCATAGTATATACAACATTGTCTGACCCGTGCGTACGCACGTGTCTTTTTACTAGTTTTAAGGGTGTTCACGAACCGGTTTGATTTGGTTTCGAATGAATCCAAAATTCAAACTGATGAAAAAAATAGATTGATTTGGAATGGATTTCTATATTTTACAATAAAGCCCAAACCAAATCGATCCGAAAAATAACAAAAATTATTTTTTAAAATTATTTATTTACACACTAAAATATAAAAAGTAAATATTGAACCCATGGCACACATATCTTTAAATAAGTTATGACCATCATAGTCATATATAGAACTGTCAAAATGACTTAGCGCATATGGGTCGGCCTACCAGCCCTAGAAAATCATAGGGGTTTGGGCTTTAAAATTATAGCTCATATTTTCCAGGCCCTTTTTAGCCCAACCCTGAAAATTCCGCTATCCATTAGGACTATTCCATATAGACCGTGGATACCCATTAGACCCGCATATCTATAAATTTTTAAAAATTATATTAATATTTATATTGTCTTTACTAAAAATAACACACTTTTTTTCACCTCACTAAATTTCATCTCTATTCTATTAAATCCTTCTCTTTTAAATATTATACATTAATATAATCAATATTCTTTTACCATATTCATTTAGTTTTTCTCTTATGTTAAATATCTATGTATTATTTTATACAATTTAGACATGTATTGTATTTAAAAACACATTATAGTATTTATAAAAAATAATATAGTACTTAAAAATGTATTATGTATAAAATAATACGATTTTTAATTTTATTTATAATAAATATTATGAGATTTTTATTTTAGTTTTTTTAAATTAAAAATCTCGTTTAAGGTCGAGTTGCCCGAAGCTCATCTAGAGCCGAACTCGAATAGTAAATCTTGAGCCCATATTACAAACGGGCTTTTTGCCGTAACCCTAGAAAGCTCAAGCCCATCAGGATCGGTCCGTTTAGGGCCGTGTAGCCTATTTTGACAGCTCTAGTCATATAGTTGTTGTTGGGAAAAAGGTTGAGATTTGCGGATTTCCTGGTTGTACGGGTGATGTTTGGTTTCTAAAAATATTTCATCATTGATTGCTAGGTTTGTGAATTATGTTGTTCCGTCTTTTTGGAAGTCGGTACTTGTTAATTGGTATATGGCTTTTTGTCGTTTTCATTAGAGAAATGTATCGCGCTAAAACCCTAATCCTTCTTCTTCGCACAACTTTTGGACTTCTTGATGGATTGTGCTTGTCTATTCCCAGAAGTCACTCGTGTTTCTAGGAACCATGAATCAATCTCTGCCTCTTACATGGAGATTTCGAAACATTCATTGAAGTCCCTTTCTCAAGCTCTAAAAGGGGTTTGTGATATCCCAACTTCACAGCTTCCTCAACCCATCATTAAAGGGGATAAACCTTTTATTACCATTCCAGAAGATGAATACGAAGCTGGTCTTGATGAATGCAAGAATAATTTACATGGAAGAGTGATATGGCCAAAAGGTTCAAAACCGCTCATAGTGGTTTCTCTCTGAAAAAGCTTTCTCTTTTGTGGTATGAAGTGAAAAACTGGGGAGTTAAATCTCTGGGTAAAGGCTACTACGAGTTCACTTTTTCTAGCACTGGGGATATGCGAATAGTTAGAGCCTCTGGTTCTATCAGTTTAAATCCCGGTTTTTTGAAGCTCTTTGCTTGGACAAGAGATTTCAATCCAGCTTCGCAAAATAATACTTTTCCTTAAGTTTGGGTTCTATTTTTCGGTCTTTCACAAGAATATTGGAGGCCTCGGATCCTGTTTGCTATAGCCAACTATTTCGAGACACTTATTTGTATTGATTCTACCTCTTCCAATTCTAGGGTGGGTCGAACTTTTGGTCAATTTGTTAGAGTGCTTGTTGACATGGATCTAGCTTTTCCCCTTAACCATAATGTTTTGGTGGAAAGGGAAGGCTTTGCTTTCTGTGCTAATATAGAGTATGAGAATGTACCAAATTTCTATATCCATTATAGAAAAACAGGCCATGGTGTGCATGATTGTAAACTGTTGTGGAAAAATGAGAATCCTAAAGCTCCTGTGCAGAAACCTGTTTCGGACACTGAGGTGAAGGCAAATGCTAATGATAAAAAGGAAAATGTGGCTGGAATTGATGTTGCGGTTCCTATTTTAGGGGATGTGGTGGAAGATTACAATGTTACTGAAGAGGAAGATAGAATCATTGAGATTCCTACAAAGGAAAACATTGCTACTGATGAGACTCTTTTGGCTAATAAATCCAAAAAATTTGTTAAATTTCCTTCTGAAGATACAGGTTCCCCTATTTTGGATTTTGTCGAAGCTACTTAAAATCTGGTAGCAATTAATAATAAAGGTTTTCTCCATAATTCTTAGGCTAACCTTTATGAGTTACCTGAATCTGAGGGTTTTTTTTTAATCTGCGGTTTCCAATTTGAAACAACCTCCCAGGACAAAAAAGAAGCATTCTGCTAGGTCTCAAGCAGTGCCAAATGAAATTTCTCTATGAAGTGCCTTTATTGGAACATAAGAGGCGTGGCTAAGGCTTCCTATAGATTAGCCTTGAAGAGATTTCTAAAATTGCACAATCCTGATTTTCTGTTTATTGCTGAGCCGAAGATTGATTTTGTTAAGTTTCCTAAAAATTGGTTTTTTTAGAATTATTCTAAAACTTTTTTCTTTCAGTATCATGGACAAACCTTATATTTGGTGTCTTTGCAAAGAGGATTACAACCCGAAGATTATTGCTTTGTCTGATCAATTTATAGCTTTTAATTTCACTTTAAATAATTGTTTGATGGCGATGGTTGCAGTCTACGTTTCTACTAATCTTTATAAAATGATGCAGCTTTGGAAGGATCTATTTGATCTTCACTCTCTTCATTCTTTTCGTTGGGCTTTTTTTGGTGATTTTAACATAATTATCGGGGCTCACGAACATAGGGGCAAGAACAGTCCTGCGAAAAGGCCTATGGAAGACTTTCAAAACTGGACTGACATCAACAGTCTTATTCACTTTCCCACTTCTGGATCTAGGTTCACTTGGCCCAACAAGAGAGATTATCCTTTTTCTGTTTAGAGAAGGTTGGATCGATGTATTGGGAACTCTCTTTTGGTCAATGCTTACACATCTATTGCGGTTTCCTCTCCGCCTAAAGTCAGTTCTGACCACTATCCTCTTCTTTTGGATTTTCAAATTAACCCTGCTATGTCAGTTTCTCAATTTAAGTTCCTTATCTCTTAGACTTTACATGATGGCTGCAAATCAGTGATAAACTCTATTTGGTCTCAAAGGATTGTTGGGTGCCCTATGTTTGTCCTTTCTAAAAAGCTCCAACTTTTGAAGAGGGATCTTAAAGGCTGGAATAGAAATATTTTTGGTAACATCGCGAATAATGTTTCTAAAGAGGAGGAAAACTTGGGTATTATTCAACAAGATATTCAGAACAACGACACTAATGACATTCTTAAGCGTCAAGAAAATGCAGCTCAATCCATTCTTTCCTACGCCTTTGCCATAGAGGATTCTTTCTGGTGGAGTAAGTCCTAAGTTAAATGGAGCTCTGATGGTGACCTAAACACGACTTACTTTCACCGCATCACAAATATTAAACAAAAGTCCAGGCCTATCTCCATGCTCAAAGGTTGATATAGAACTCTTACTGACTCAGTGGAGATTGCTTCTCACACTGTCAACTATTTTGAGAACCAGTTTTCTTCTAACAATTATTTTTCGCAGGATAGCAATTTAGTGAATACCACTATTCCTCCTTTAGTGGATGAGGCGGAGAACCGTATGCTGACAAACCTTCATTCCGTCAAAGAAATATATGTTGCGGTTTTTAGCCTTAATAGTGACAGTGCTTCAGGGCCAGACGGTTTTAGTGCAGTGTTTTTTCAGAAATACTGGGATACCGTTAAGCAGGACGTTTCAGATGTGGTCATTCAATTATTTTCTACTGGTTGGGTTCTTCCTGGTTTTAATGAAAATTCAATCATTCTCATACCCAAGATCTCAAGGGCTGACTCGTTGGATTTGTTCCTCCCTATAACAGATTCTAATTTTAAGTTTAAGATTATTTCCAATGTTTTAGCGGATAGGCTTGCTTCCATTATGCCTTTTCTAGTATCGCAAGAACAACATGGGTTTATTCATGGTAGACACATTCATAACTGTATCAGTTTGGCTTCTGAAACAGTTAATTTGCTAGTTTCCAAATCTTGGTGTGGTAATGTTGCTTTAAAGGTGGATAATCGATCACCATTTTCACTATGTTTTTGTCACTTGTCTGACGACAATCCATGTATTTTGCACCGCTTTGTTTCGTATTGTGTTACTGTCATACCCCAAATTTCCCCCTCTAAATAAGCATTTCATCTTTTATTCGGTTATTTAGGATTTTGGGTATTATTATTGCTAGCTTACTCTAAGAGGGGTTTAAAATCGTAGAGGGGTGTATTATGGACCATCAAAATCTGATGGCCCATTAAGCTTTTGGTTCCATGTGTATAATTAAAAGTTTTTTTATTATTAGAGGGGTATGTAATTTAATTAAGGAGTTTATGGGCTTTCTAAAATCAGAATGGCCCATTTAGACTTTTGTAGTCCATTCAAATAAAGAGGAGGGAGGTGCATGTTTTTAGGATTGTATTGGTGCAAGTGGGCCATCAAAGTCTGATGGCCCAATAAGGGTTTCTACTCGGGTTAAACATAATAGAATAGGGGTATATGGACATCAAAATCAGACCAATCCATTATGCTTTTGAGGCCCGTATGAGATTTCTTTTTTTATGGCCCATGAAAGAATTGGCAGACTTTTATTTTATTTGTCAGTTTGAAGCCCATCACGTTTTTGTTGACTGAAGTCAACACTCATGCAAATTATTCTTATCACTTTTATTAAACATAAATAACTATAATCGAGTCTTTATTTAATTGTTAATTTTATTAAATTTATAATATTATTATTTTCTGAAACTTTGACTAAGTCAACAAAGGGCCATGAAACCCTAATTCTCAATGTATCTGCGGCGACCGTTCATCAATTTCATAAGCAACCCTAACCCACTAAGCAATCCCAAAATCAAATCTCAAACAAATCAAAATTGTATCAAAGCAGGCTTTATAAATCAAATATTTACAAAAAAAAAAAACAAATACTGTACAAACAAAAGATTACAGTTTAAATCTTTACAAAATCTGAATCAATCAATTTACATATAAATTGTCAATTACAAATCAATTGCAATCCCTAATCTTCTCTAATCTAATCACTTACTTCTAAACTAAATCAAATTGTAACGACAAATCAAACATATTTTCCTAATCTATCTAAGTATTAAACCTATATAAACCCTATGATCTAAGATGTAAAGGAAGACAACAAAAAATTGGAGGAGAAGAAGTTATAACAGAGAAGAAGCAATATGCGAGTCAACCGTCTTCTTGAGATCTGAGTTTCAATTTCTGAAATCCTAGATCTTTGATTCAAGCCGTTGCCACCGTCACACACCATTATCTCACATACCTGTCAAATAGAAAAGAAGGAGAAGACGATTAGAAGGGAGAACCGAAGAACCAGAAAGGGACGAATACAAGAAGAATCACTGCAGGGGAGGTAAGCCGATTCACTTAGATTAGGGTTGTTTTTTGAATCTAAGATTTGTGTTTGGTTTTGAAATTCTAGATTTCTAAGGGTTAGGGTTCATTAGGGTTCATGTTTAGGGTTATGGTTCATCGGGTTTAGGGTTAGGGTTATAACATTTGTGGTTTCTGGGTTTTAGTTTGATTAGGGTTATTCACGAACCCTTAAGGTTCTTAGGGTTCATATGAACCCAGGTGGTGGTTGGGTTTGAAGATGGTGGCGCCTTGGCGCAGTCGCCGACGGAAGCGATTTCTGGTCGATGGCGCTCAAGGTGGAGGCAATTTCCGGTGACACAAACCTAGAGAGAAGATAAACCTTCTTTCTCTAACCTCCAACGATTGTTTGTTGTTTTGGTGAAGAGAGAGAGAGAGAGAGAGAGAGAGAGAGAGAGAGAGAGAGAGAGAGAGAGAGAGAGAGAAAGAGAGAGAAATAAGATAAAAATGGGTCTTCGGCCCAGAAACCGAATATATAACACCCTCTGATCCTATACGTCTCTCTTATCGTGCGCCCTCGCTCCCTGTCCCTTGGATCATCATCAGCCGTCCTTAAAGTGCGCGTCCACAATAGCTCCCAGCACTTGCCCATACTTTGTTCAATGGATCAACATTTGTTTTGGTCCAGGCCCATTCTAATCACACCCTTTATTTTACTTCGCCAACAATAATTCTTACCCGTTACGCTAATGGGCCAAGTCCAACATCTGGACTTGGGCCCTTAATTCCTGCACCCCTAATTTTACTAAGCCATTGTAAAACGACACTTCCCTATGTTTTGGGCTTAAATACAATATCTGGATTTAGGGTCCTGCTATCTACACCCCCATCCTTTTACTAACGAACTGAAAATACACCCCATGCATAAATTAATTAAAATTATATTTTTTTACATTTTCTTTTATTTATCAATTTATTTATTTATGTTGTCATAATTAAAATTTATTTTATAATAAATTCTAAATTTATGTATTTATTAATTCAAATCTTTTTTACTAACCCATTCAAATATCCTTTTTAATTGCATTAGAATCTTTTTTCCTCATGTATTAAAAATCATCTAACCAATCAAATATTAACAATTTTTCACTAACCTTATTTAAACCTCTTATTATTTTCTAAAAGGATTATGGAGATATTTCTCATTAACTACGAACTGCATCTAACAACTCCGCAATTTATAAACCTAGACTTGGTTCAAGGATTAATTTGAGATATCTCCGTAATCCATAAAAAACACCAACCAACAATTGCGAACTATGAATTGGGACTTTGATTCCTCATAAGAGGATACATAGGCATACGACTAAAATCGTGGCGAGTTCCCCTAATAAAAATTAAAACCCTATTTCCTAAACTATAAATCTAAACCCTAGTATCCTTGTGAACAAGGTAGTTGAGGGGTGCCTAACACCTTCCCTTCATCTAAGAACGAGTCAACAACTTAGAATTTTTGACCAAATTAGGGTTATCCGTTATATTCCCTTCCTTAGGATGAAAATTAATGGTGGCGAATCTTATTTTATAACCAGTTATTACAGCTGACGACTTTGCTGGGGACTCAACCCTAGGGTTTAAAAGCCTTTCCTTTTGGTTTTAGGGTTTTTCTTATTTTTGGTGTTTTTATTTATTTGCTTATTTAATTATTTATTTATTTTTGTTTAGTATATTATTTTTCATTTTTATTCATCTGTTGGCGGGATTTTATTTTTAAAAATTTATTTAAAAAAAACCCTTAGAAAGAAGGTTCGTCTATTAGCCAAGGGGATACATCATCCCTATGAATTTTTGTGACGACTTTGCCTAGAGTCGGTGGAATTCCAAAAAATAAATATGTCTCAAGAGGTATCCTCTTTGGGGGTAGGACTTTGAAATGAAACCTATAAATTTTTGTATAATCCTTAAACCAAAATCTCATTGTGATACCTTTCACGACCTTAAAGACGAATGTTTCGGCCTGCAAAGAGGCTCCACTTAAGGGATGCCCTTGTGCCTTTGCGTATAGAGTAATCCATGATACCCTTAAGGAAGCCACCTTATGGGGATGGTAGAGTATACGTAGGCCAAAACTAGGAGCCTACCAACTAAGGATACCTTTCATGAAATCTCGTTACTATGCCATACAATCATGCATTCATACATCTTGCATTTCATATATTCATTTACCCTTCATTCTTTTTTGTATGTCTTATTCACAAGATTAAAAAAATATAATTAAAGATATTTTTAGTGAAGTGTCTTAAAAATGAATTCCATAGGGAAAGAACTTATCCGTCTTAATACCGTCAAGCCAGATATGACGAAGATCAATACCATCAAAAGGAAGTTGACTGAAAGAGCTTTGAAAATGTTTACTCGCCGTTATTGGGATACCCTCAAATTGACAAAAGTGGATGTAAAATTGGATGATATTTCTTCCTTGGTTCAGTTCTACGATCCTCTGTTGAGGTGTTTTACCTTCCAAGATTTTTCAGCTAGCACCGACTCTGGAAGAATTTGATAGACTTTTGAATTTTTCTAAGCAGAAAGCATATGTGGGAATTGGACAAACTATTGACATTAAAGACTTAGAAAATGGTTTAGGGATCCCTTATCTTGAATTCTCACTTAATTACAAGAAAGAAGGTGATGTACAAGGGATTAAGAGATGTTATTTGGAAGATAAAGCCATTTCTTTTTACAATAATAAAGAATGGGAGTCTTGTGTTGATTGTTTAGGGTTACTTGTATTTGGTATAATTATGTTTCCGCGGACTTTGGACTATATTGACCTGCAGCTATTACTGTATTTTGGGACGCAAAAGCTTTGAATGTAGAACAAAATCATTCTTTACTTACTGATATTTATTATGCTCTTCATACTCGTTACGAAAAGAGGAGGGGTACTCTAAATTGTTGCATCCCACTCTTAT